ACAACATTTCATTCAAGGACAAAGAACATACGAGTTCAGTACCATTTCATTCGTGAAAAAGTGAAAGAAGGGTCGGTAGATATGCAGAATATCCATACCAAAGACAACATAGCAGATTTCATGACGAAGGCGATCAATGCCGATAAATTTACCTGGTGTCGATCCTCTTGTGGTCTGTAAGAGATGTAAGCAACATGAAGGTACAAGGTAGAAAGAATGGTGTGAAGATATGATTGTTCCAATCAAATCTTCAAGTGGAAGATTGTTAAAAGTCATCATGGGCGGCTAATCTTCTAGATGGCAGCCAACTACTTTGATTTAATTCAAAGATGGTTACATTTTGTTGAAAAGTCAAAACAACAAGTAGTAAATTTTAGGTGGCTTTCGGTGGTGCAATTAATGCACCGAAAAGTAGCTGAAAATATTGAAATTTGGCATGGTAAAATCACTCATTTAATCACTAAACTTTAGAGTATTTACAAATTAGTCCTTAGGCTTTAACTATAAATATCCTAGCTCATTTAGCTTCAAAATCATCCCAAAGCATTCTAGCTTTCTTCTAATACTAGAGAGAATTTAGAGAGTTTCTTGAGAGTTGTTTTCTCCTTTTTATCAAGAGAAAATTATCATTGTTTTCTCCTTGGTAGATCGAGAGAGGTTGTAATTCCTATTTTCTCATAGTGAAATTCTTCTACCGTTGCCCGTGGTTTTTACCCTATATTATTTAGGGGTTTTTCACGTAAATTTTATGTCTCTTTTATCTTCATTTTTATTTTCTAAAAATTACCAGTTGCGATTTTGCTCTATCCAATAGCCGTCTTCCGCAACAATACAGGCTGAAGTTCTTGCAGTGTGAAGCACAAGATCTGAAGATAGAATCTCATGCTGATAACGGATGATTACCATAACAATGAAGTATCTTTGAGAATATCAGCATCGGTTACCTCTCTGATAATATTTTTGGTGGAAGGCAATCCAGCTACCACGTCTTCTTCGATACCGCACTCATTGGATGCCCTTCTTATCTTGAAGTAACCCTCCTGCAATGTGAAATACGAATATGATGATCAATATTTAAGCATCCAAAATACATTTTCCCCCTAAATGAACGTGGAGAAAAATATTGATGGAAAACATACATCACCCCAGCCTGTATTCCACTGGTTTGCAAGAAGCTGCAATAGGAAGAAATCCACTCGGTCATTTACATGATTCTAAATATTCTCAAAAAAGATGGAAGCATTCAAACATACCCAGTAACCCTCGCCATCATCTGAAGTTCCCCACCCGATAAGCTTAACTGAATGACCTCCCAAAACACCACCGGTCAGTGCTTGTAAACCCCAGTTTTGTAGTGGGCAAAATCCTGGAGAATCATGAGAAGAAATTAGAAAACCAATTACTTCTTATCTCTTCTATATGTTATGTGTTCATGCATTTTGGGATTGAACAGCCAAGTAACGTGCAATAAGTAGCCATTGTGAAGAAAAACCAAGACTGATAACTACTGTGATTGTTAAGGACCAAAAGCATCCTGGCCCTTGCTTGGAATTCATACATAAGTTTTAACTTCAAAGCCAAGCTACCCCATCAAAATTGCACACATCAGAAAAAACAAAGCGGCCAATTTAACTAGAAAAAACTGCTTGCTTTCTTTACCTCATAAACGGTGAAGGCGACCTCAATGGGTCCATTCTTATAACCTCATTGATATCAGCTGGATCCAAGTTGATTCTATATGCACTGACGCTATAGCGCTTGGACCGACTCCAGAGCTGGTTTCCCTTCTCACACTTCTTCACACATCTGGGAGTAGGATATGCACGCTCACAACCAGGGTGAGAACAGCCAATATCGTCAAAGTACGGATCACACTGCAGGACGAAGAATTTGCTCATTACTGAGAAAGAAGTGCATCCTTCCGTCACCATGCAGGAGTACATAATATAGAACAATGTATCAAGTGAATAAGAGGCAAGTAAAATATAGCAATAATTTTCAGTAATAAAATCAGGTTAGAATTTCAGAGTTTAATAGTAATAGTACCTCCTCGGTGACGACACCATCGCGCACAAAGTATTGCCATGCAGATATCTGAATCCTCCCATCACAATCATTTCCACATAGAAAGCCACAACATGAGAAAAGATCATTAACAGACAGATATATTCTGCACTGAAATATTTATAAATATGAACAAATTTGCCGTGAACTGAGCAAACGATATCCTGTTTTCCAAAAAAAAAAAAGTTCCATTTACCATGCCAAAATGAATACAGAACAGATCAGACAGTGATTCAACAGCACCAAAAGCCCAGCAAGAACCACAGTGACCCTCAACCATCAGCAACTCAAGAAAATAAGAATCTACATAAACATGAGATATAAAAATCGAGAGAAATGAAAATGGAGTTACCTGATCTTCAATTTCGAAATCATTCCAAGAATTGATTCATCGTACAAAGAGGGAAATGATCAGTTCTTCGTTCAGAGATAGCAAAATTTATAAACTAGCACATGACTCACCAAGAATTCTTCCAATTGTGCTACATTGTGGCCAAGCTGTTATCGCATCAAAATTATCAGACAACGTTAAGGAGTTGTCATGTGTTATAACAGGGACGCCCAGAAGTGACTTCTTTGGTGTTGGCTTGACTCCAAGTATATGCTTAAACTCACCAACCTTTGCAGCGAAAATGACAAATTTCGAACTAGTAAGTTTCCAGGACTACACACATACGTCTTAGAAAGAGAATGATCACTAAAAGGCCCTGTGCAAAATAGCCAACTTACTATGTAATTCGAAAACCGAGGATTCAGGGCAGCTTTCCATCCAGCCTGTGGGTTTTCATTTACTGTTTTGACAACCGAATCCTACATCATAATGGTGAGAGTGAAGAACTAATCATTTTTCATGCACCTCTTTTTTCACTTTAAGTCATTCAATTGAGAAATACCTGAAGGATTCGAGAGTTAAGCTTGACCTTAGAAAGTTGTTCCACGGTGATGACCTGCTAACAATACGGTTATCCATCGATTACCGATTAGAACTTCTAAAAATATTTTTGTCCAATAAAGCAACAACTGAAAATGAATAGACATGAAGAATATCTAATCTAGCACAAGAGTCCATCAATAGCTAATCTAGCACATCAATGATGTCAACCACAGATAAAAAGCAAAACTACGGGCATTACACTAAGAATTCTGTTGCTTCCCCTAAAGTCTCCCTTTGAGAAAACCATATGTAAAACTGGGTTATAAGTTTCAATCGTATATAAGCAAGCTCTATGAATCCTAAAGAACACATTTTGAAAAATGGTATTTTTCTCCACTCAAAAAAGGCAGAATTTTAAGAGTTTCAATCGAAAATACTGAAGCCAATCTGGTAGAACTCGTATTCTAAAATATTATTACCATTTCTCAAAGCCAAGCATCATGTCAGCTTCACATAATATATCGAAACAATCGAATGGAAAAAGAAGTTAAATTGGACCCAATTTAAGAAAAAGAAATCTCAAAATACATTTGGGTGAACCATGGAGAGAAGTAACTGGAAGGTAGTCAAAAAGCGCAGAGGAGTCGCCATTTTCCTCATCTCCGAGGTTGAAGAAAAGGGCAAAGAGCTTTGATTTTAGTTTACGGATCTTTGATTTTTTTGTTTCTCTAATACTTCTCTTTATTTCATCATCATCCTCTGCAACAATGAAAAACCCAATATTATCGTAACATACTTTTACGGAATGTCAGTTATCCTATGTATTGTTTAGGCAAACGACAATGCCAAACATCTCTCAATTATTGTGATTAATATCCTATGTTATCTTGTTGCTTATCGTTGAAGCTTTTCTATATACAAAGGAATACAAAGAATTCAATCTCCATATTTGATAAGTATGTGGTTTCATTTTCGTTAAAATGGACTCAAAACGAAGGAAGTATTAGATAAACAAAAAAAATCAAATATCCGTAAACTAAAAAAACAAAATGACATGGTTTTATTTTTCAATTGTTTGGATATTTAAATTTTGCAAATACTCGAACCCAAAAATCAAACTAAGGGTCTGTTTGTTTAGCTGTAATTGGTTTTCCAGAAAATGAATTACTGGAATTTGAATTACTGGAATTTGAATTCTGGAAAATGAATTACATTTCTGTAAAATGAATTACATTTCTGGAAAATGAATTACATTTCTGGAAAATATCTGGAAAACGTTTTATGATGTTTGGAAGATGTTATTTAAACATTTTTTCGGTATATTTTACTGAAATAAAATTTTATAAATTATATTAATTATTTATTAAAGTAATAGTACTATATTATATTTTAAAAATATTAATTAGTATATTTTAATATCTTTACTAAAATATTATTGAAATATATAAATAATATTATTCATTATTAAATATATAAAAAAATTATTATATTATTAAAATAAAAATATAATATCTTATATTATTATAATATAATTGATTATTTTATATAATATTAAAAATATAATATTATATTATTATAAATATTAATAAATATATTTTAAATATTTTAATAATTAATATTTTGATGAAAATGATATTAAAATATTTTATTAATATTAAATTCATAAAATAAAATTATTTTGAGTATTTTTGCTTTGAAGTGAAAAGTTCGGAAAATGACTTACGGAAAATGAATCCGTAAGTCATTTTACAGAAAACACAAAAGAAATTCTGTTACTAGGAAAATGAATTACATTCCGGAAAACGAATTACGTGAAACAAACACGGGAAAACGTTTTCCGGAAAACGAATTACGTGAAACAAACACGGGAAAACATTTTCCGGAAAACGAATTACGTGAAACAAACACGGGAATTCGGGGAAAACCAATTCCGTAATTCCAATTACGGGAAACAAACAGACCCTAAATGTTAAGTTTAAATAACCCAAAATTAAAAAGAAAAAAAAAAGTTATTTTTTCAAATCAAATCAAGTTTTGTTCACACCTCTAATGAAAAGGATTATCATGCAATTCTAAGATTATCACAGAGATGTCCAAGTTCAGGCGTTGCATCCATCCAAGATGTGAATTTTGTCTCAGTTGGAGATGTGCAGTAAAGGTAAGACCGGAATGTGAGAAGGAAAAAGTAACGCCTGCGAATGAACAGCCTTAATGCCCATATCCATGAGGTATGCTCGGTGTTCATCGTCATCATGGGGAACTGCCTCAAGTTCCTTGCTATAATGAAGGATATCATCTCGTAAATGCCCTGCACCAGCACACCTTCACAAAATGGAAGAAACTCAACACCATCAAAGGGTGAAAAAGAACCAATAAGTTGGTTAAACGATATGAAATAAACTAAAAGATGTGAAATGAAAAATAAAACAAGCAACACGAGCTCATGTTCAACTTAGTCTAGAAAGAAAAATAATAATATAAAGATCAATGACCTGAATATGCATACTGCTGGTACTGTAAAATAGTGAAGATAAAATTCATTCCAATTCCTTTAAAACTAAAAAAAAATAGAATGAACAAATAAATGATATAGACCTTCCAATAATGATATCAATATCTGCTTTGCTTTTTGGACCATGACTGAGAACTTTAGTAAGGCTTAGTATGTCACGGTAATCAACCATCCTTCGTGCTTCTTCTTCAGAAGTCCAAGATGCCATGCTTTCTTCAAGTGAAGAATTTAGCTGTGCATCTGCCAATGATTGTGTTGCACTGGATGTCCCAAAGTTCACCTCGGCACCAAGTCTGCATATGCGATTCCACCGAATCCAGTATGTGATACATAAAGGTAGCAGATAATTTAAGCCCCATTCTGCAGCAGATACTCTTTCAAGAGTATCGATTCCTAAATAAATAAAAATAATAATAATAAAATAATCAAACTAAAATCCTAAATTTACAAGGTTTATCACAAAAGATAAAAATAATTATTTAAGTCATACTGTCCTGGTTGAATTCAACTTCATCTTTTAGATGACCTTGTCTCATGTAAATTCCAAATTAAATATTCAAAATAATTCTACTCATCTTCTAGAAGATGAACTGGACCTTCGACATCTATTAGTTTTAGGCTAATTAATCCAATGAGGCTCATGTTCAAAATAAACCCAAAATAAAGATAAATCAGTAATATCTAAGCGATAAATGATAATAAAATATATAATATTAAACTCCAATCAGATCCGAAAGTACCTCTGCGTTAAACGTGAGGTGGAGGATCTCGACATTCTTTTATAAGTTTGTCTAAGTTCACAAATCACAATCTTAGTAGTTGGATGTATTATTATCTCAATTTTTTGTGGAACTTAAGCAAATAACTGTTCGTTTGGATAGAATTATTTTCACGTCTACACATATGGTCAGTGGATGATTCTCGATGCTCTGATGAGATAACGAAGAATGTGACATCATCTCGACGCTCTATAGGGATCAAAGATAAGTTTCTATAATCGTTGTGGAGGCATCTCAACTCTTTTTGGCCGATTGTCAAAGAAATTATCGGAGGCAACTCAACACCCTTAAAAAAGTCTGATAGGTGGGAAAAGACATCGTCACCTTGGTAGAAGTAATGTGGGAATTCCTTATCGGGTAAATGCATCTCGATACTCATTTATATCAATGAAGAGAGTCTTATTACTAGAGCCGAGCGGAGGCATCTTAGCTCTTTGGAAGATTCTTTAAGCTGTAGCAGTTAAAGTGAGAGGCAACTCGGCATCCCAATAGACTATCGCATAAGAAGTGGAGTCATCTCGACGCTCTCGAGGTGTAGGCCTCTAAATATTCTGTGAGCAACAATGGATAGAATCATCTTGCTAGAATATATCATCTCGGTTCTCTTTTGTATGGTGTTAGAGAGATAGCAAAAGAGTCCTTTTAGTTATAGAAGAGCATAGATATCTCAATACTCTCGGCTCGAGAGGAAACAACTCAGCTCCTGGAGAAGCACTACAGGATGAGCAGAGACGTCTTCGTGTACTCGGAGAAATACTACAACATTTATTGAGGTATCTTCACCTTGGTAGAAGCAATAGGGGATTCCCCTTGCTAGGACAAAGACACCTTAACACTCTTTAAAACACAATAGATGAACTTCTATTGCTGTAGTAGAGACAACTAGGCCCTTTGAGCCTAAATATCTGTCCCACAATCAATAATTGGTCACAAAGTCAGTTATCTGAGTAACAATAGGGAATGCGATGGTATGATGCAGAAAATCATGAGATGTAGAGGTTAAATCAAAACAATACAAGTCATGAGATGCAGAAAAGTCAGTAAAAGTGTCCTTACTATTTCATCCTTCAAAAAATATCTATCAGAATGAAATTTAAAAAAAAAATCAGATTAAGCTATGTAAACCTAGCACAAATAATAGATTTTTGGTAATCTGGCGAGCACAAAGCATATGGCCAAGACTTTAATGTCGTATAGCAGCAGGTATGACTACTTTTCCTATATGAGAGATTAAGAGTAGTAACCATTTACAAGAGATACCTTTCCCTTACCTGTATACTATTGTCGCTGCTAACCTGTCGCATGATGCATAGCATCTGAATCTGGGAGTCATTGGTCAACAATAAATATAATTCCTCGTGTAATCGTATTGTATGGTGTCGTTTCAAAAGTTGGCTTGAATGTCATTAGTAGATTTAGATAGTTGAGATACAACCCCTTTAAAATCTTGATCAAACTAAAGTCGGCATCCATTAATCACTAGATACTCCAGTTTGCCATATCATTGGCATTAAGGGTGAGAGGTCTACCCCTGATTGTTCACCGGAGCTACGATCATTGGATTGTGTCCCAGTTTACCATATAACCACTAGGACGACAATGAAGATAAGAGTCCGACTGTTAACGATCAAGTCATCAATTTATTATAAAATGATATCATTTTTACCTTAAATCTTAACAAAGTGTAAAGTTTCTCAAGCTTTTTATCTGTCTAGTTATTTTCCATATTCCATTTTTTAATAGTTTTTTTTCAAGATAAAGAAAGAGAAATCGGAGGTTATGTGACTTCCAATCTCTATCTATTTAGTTCCATAATATTGAATTGGATTTAATAATGGATAATATTATCCATAAATATTTTTTCAACACATTCAATATATTACATTCCATTACTCCTGCAAACCAATCTATTACAGCATATCAATAACACAAACACAAATTACCGCAGTGTCCAAACAGACCCTCAAATCATTTCAGCAATTTCCAATGGCCTGATAGTCATTTCTCTATACTAACAATACCCGACTGATTTCCTTAGAACAGTCGCAACGCATGTCGACTGGGCTGCAAAGCTTCAGTCAAAGACTTGAGTGCCTTGTCATATGATATAAACCCCAAGAACCAAAATTCATATCCATCTCTGGTGATCATATGAATATACTTTTCAGATGGCTTCAATCTGTTTGCTGAAGGATTAACCGCTGCCAACTTATCGAGCTCGATCACCACCTACATAGCAGGCAATAAGGCAATACAATAGCAGCATATCAGTACAGACGATTAGAAATTAAAAGAAATATATGATGATTCTAAAGTAATGGAGATACCTTATAATACATCCACTGCTGGTACCCTGGTGAATCATAGTAACAGAGGGGATAATCACTACAAAAAGCAACTCTTTTAGTGGATATGTAAAGAGTACCGATCACCGGTCCGGAGGACGTCGATAGATAGCAAACATATGAATGTAAGAGCTTTTCCCCAGGCAAGATCTGAAATGTCTGCTGGAACAACCTATCATGGCCTCCTTCTGCAAGCAGCTTTGTCCCTTGAGCAAGCCTTGCCACTGCAGCTTCAGTGATACTAGGACTCACCTTCACTGCTTCCACAGACAAAAAAAGATTACATGTAAGATCAAGAATCACGTACGGGAACGAACTTAGAACATTCTAGAAGGCAAAAACATATTACTGATACAAAATATAAAAAATATCTAAAATATACGATAATTCAAAATTTCTAGAGACGTCTGTCCCGTCCCGTCCCTCTGTACATCCCTGATCACACGTACATGTACAATAAAATCAAGAGGAATTCAAATTTATTGCTAAATAATTGTATCGAGAAAAACTTACGGTGGTTCCAAAAGTTGTCAGCAAGGTCTTCGATCTTTTTCCCACATCGGCTCAAGGCATCACATATACTAACCCCTGTAAAACCAACAACCAGTCAACAAGCGCAGTTTCAAGATCAACCAACAATCTAAAAGATCAAATAAAACTTACTCCTGCCGGATGGAGGAACTGGTGAAATGGAGAGGTAAGGACTGTTGTTGTGAGAAGCCATGTCGAATTGGTGGTTGGAGGAAGAAGATGGAGCTTGAGGTTGGGGTATCATCCGTGTAGTCATTTTACAAATGCTTAAAGCTTCTTTTTTTCTCCCCTGTTGGCTTCTCCACTAGAGAAATTAAGCCTTTTTAAAATCAAATTGTGGGTTCTGAGAATTTCCAAAAGGATGAATTCGGCTCAGTTCCTTGGACTGTTCGATCATGTTGATGGTGTGGGAAAGGAATAAGTAGTCGGAATAGAATTTGCGGAAAAGGCAGCGAATATAGGAGCAGAGAATGTAAGCCACTAAAGGTACTTATCTTTCAAAGATGCCCCTGTTTTTGTTCCTTCTCTCTCTCTCTTTTTTTTTTTTTGCCATTATTTTGACGTATCATATTGCCAAGCTAAGAACCCGATTGTAAGGTAATTGATCACGACCTGATCAACCATAATGTTAGCTGGTTTATTGGATAACATTAAATTATACATACTTCCATATAAGGTATAGTAAATCGAATTTGAACGAATAAAATTATATTTAAATTTATGTGTTTTTGTTTAAAATATTTATATTTAATTTGTTTAAAGTTAACAAACATGTTCATTTAATGTTTTCGTACATATTTGTTTAACATTATATTATGCAATCAACACTCTTTTTACCTTTTCTTTTTGAGAGCCAAAGAAAAATGTTAGAAATTATACTATTAGACCTCAAGTTTTCTAATGATTCACCAATATTTAAAATTTAAAAAAAATGAGAATTGAGTAAATAAGCTTTCAGGCGAACTCGTTCGTGATCATAAATGAACCGATCATATCTCTATTTGTTACCGTTCGTTTATTTAAATGAACAAAAAAAATTTATTCATACTCATTTATTTAACTTAATAAATAAAGATAAACAACGCTGTACAAACCGTCTATCCATTTACATTCCCTGCTTCCATGAAAGATCACTAGTCACTGGGCTGTTTAACTTAATCCTGATGCAATAGTTTTCGAAGGTCGAGATCCTCAAATTTTGTAAATCTCATCTTATGTAAACTCTAGATTTTCTTTTTTTTTTTTTCTGATTTAAGTTCCACCATAAATATGCATTATTTATATTTTGGTCCTAAACCTTTCATCAGATCTTATAGTGCATATCACTGAAATGAAAATACAATGGCCGTGATCGGATTGATATTACCCTTAATTGACATTTTACAGTGAAAATATATGTGGAGAAAAGTTGACAAAAATCTGAGGACGATAATAAGAACTTTCTGACATATATACCGACTTAAAACATACAAAAGAAACCTCTAACAGAGGGGTGATTTTACCACAAGATGTGGGAGGTTTTTATATTCGGATGGAGGAGCTAACTACATACTAGGCCTTACATGCTGTTCAAGATTCCCTGTTCAAAGGAATGTTTTCCCAACCCATGAATTTTATCTTCAATGTCTTCACATTCTCCCCAAAGGTTGGTTTGGTTAATTTGGATTAACAGAACTTATATCAGTACCTGTTATCAGTGAGTTGGTGAAGCCTGGCGAGTTTTTTGCTTGGGGCTTTCTTCGTTTGTATGTCAAAGGATGGGTATCATACTTGATCTCTGAACCACTAGGTTTACTTGGCTTCTCTGTAATTTCAACTTTAAAATCACTTGGGTTCTTCATTTGGTTGGGAAAAGCCATCAACTTGTCCTGCATGCCTCCTTCAATTCCTGAACCCGAGACTGCCCCAGGAACTCTTGGAAGAATGGCCATACACTCTTTTTGCATGATTCTGGTATGCCTCTCTCCTTCATGATATTGGTTGGTGAATGGGTATGAAAACAATCCTTTCTTCCCCATGTCGAGGTTATGCCCCATATTCTGATCAAATTTGTATCCCTTTGAGTCAATTACGCTTTCGTCATCAAGTTCAAACAATTTATGTTTACCTAAATCAGCAATGTCAACTTCCTTGCTTCTACTTTCACTAGAGTCCTGTAAATATCTACGGCTTCTTAAAGCACTATCCTGATGAATTAACATACTTCGAGATTGCTCAGGGTTCATTTGGCCACCGGAAACCTTTTCCCATAGAAACAGTGGCCCACTAAAGTTACCTGCATTTTCCATGTACGCAGGTGCTGGCAAATTAGGCACTACGCGGACCTGTAAATTTTGGGCACCCACATGCAATGCCTTCTGTGACCTTCTTGAGAACACTTTTGATACTTGGAGTAAGACATAAGGAACTTTGGGAACTACTTTCAATAGTCCCTTTGGTACCGGTCGAATTTGTTCCAAAAGGTCATCCACAACCATCTTTTGGTTGTAACTGTGAGTCGCACTGCCAGTAGTCTTAACCTCCAGAACACCCTTTGTACTGCAGTTTGGCAGAATAGTGTTCATTCCATTGGCAGATGCACTGGCAACATTAGCTTTTTCTTTAACACTATCCCAAATTTTCATTCTCTTTGGTAAATGGGGCATGACTGCATCCGGGTTAACATCCTCAGTTAACAAATATCCATCACTAGGCACTGCATTAAGGTCAAGCAAAATGGTATTGGCATCCCCACATTTCATCCTTGTTCTCCACATATAAAATCTTTCGGGGATGCCAACACTTATGTCACATTCATCCCACAACCTTCCCATGTCTATGAACATTTGTACCATTTTGTGATGATAAGATCTTATTGCATGGTAATATTTTCTCCTCTCAAGAAACTGCAAGGAATCTCTAAGTCGAGAAATCTTTGGAGGATAAAATCCACTTCTCAATCTTTTGAAAAATGTAGCCACGGGATTCCCAAAATAAAAATCACTACCACTGAAAAGATCTTTCATAGTCAACCAGAAAGTCCATTCGTCCATATCTGGAAGGTAGGCTGACAAAGAGAACCACTCTTCCTCTGTCAAGCACGAGTTCCATGTCTCTAACGACAGTATCTCCCTTAAATCCGGTAGATCAAACAGTTCATACGGTATACTGCATATCTGACCTTCCACCATGCCAAGCTCACAGCCAATTCCCTCGAAATCACAGTCATCCAGATCATCACCCGAGTTGGCCCCCTTAAGAGGGTCATCATGTTCCTTTTCCTTGCCCTCACCTTTTAATGAGACAGGAAACCAACCATGGCAACTACTAACCCCTGATTTCCATTGCCAAATCTTCTGTATGCCCATGGACACCAGAAGGATGTTTAGGTCCACAATCTAGTTACATTGACAAGGAAAACAACCGTGCAAAAACTTTATTGCAGCACTAAATCTACCTGCAAAGCACACCGATGCTTTAGCCACCAACACTAGAACAATGCACCTGAACAGTAAACTCAATTTCCCTTAGTTTACTATCAGCAATTCAGAATAGCTTCCACAGCAGAAAGAAATTCGTGGATACATACAACATAAACATGATAAAAATTTCAACACAATACTCCAGTGGAAAAAAACATTGCTAATATACACTGTTAATTTCGGTTCAAACTGATTTCTAACAATAAGATCACAAATTCTTCATCTTGAGAAACCAATGGATTAGATAAAGATATAATAAGATTAAGCAGTTGAAAAATTCAGTAGAATTGAAGAAAATATAAAGTATACATGCAAGAATTGGGAAAGATGAAAGCAAACGATAGGTTGAGATTAAGACGATGAAAAAGGAAACACTCACTGATAAGTGGGGGAATTGGAGGTAAGCCGAAACAAATGAGATGATCAAAGGATGAAGCAAATCCACCAGAGAAGAATTAGTGGTGGGACAGTGGGGAATTGAGCGAAAGAAAATTAGGCAACAGTAAAGGAAAGCGTGAATCTAGGTATTCATGAGTGGCTTCGCACCTTTACCTTTTGTTGCATTTCGAGAGAAAATGTGCAATTTTTATTGATGTTGTACATGCACTGTACGTCCAGTCTCCTGCGTGACTCGGGAATGTCTCAGAGAAATACGGGTTAATATACTGTTAATATATGGTGTTATCGGATATATTAAAAGATATTTAATAAATTTAGTTTAGCGCTATCGGAAATGTTGACTAATAATAATGTAGTAAGTCTAAGTCATGAAGAAATATTAAAAAATTGTGCAACCGGCAAACTTAACTTGTCGGTTCGTGTCGATCCAAATTAAAAATGTATCGATCCACAACGATATAACAGGTAAAACTATGACAAAACAGGTATTGAAATGATAAAACCGGTAAAGCGGTACCAGATATATTTAAAGTGTCGGTACTTTAATATAAGGATCGACACTTCGTTAATTTAAAAGAGAAGTAGTTTTAGCGCCTATAAAGTGTCGATATTTTAAAAAAATGTATCGATCCACAACGATATAACAGGTAAAAATATGATAAAACCGGTATCAAAATGATGAAATCGATAAAACACTATCGGATATATTGAAAGTGTCGATACTTTATATAAGGATCGACACTTTGTGAATTTAAAAGAGAAACAGTTTTAGCGCCTATAAAGTGTTGATACTTTAAAAAATGTATCGATCCACAACGATATAACAGGTAAAAATATGATAAATTGGTACCAAAATGATGAAACCGGTAAAACGCTACCGGATATATTGAAAGTGTCGATACTTTATTTAAGGATCGACACTTTGTGAATTTAAAAGAGAAGCAGTTTTAGCGCCTATAAAGTGTCGATACTTTAAAAAAATGTATCGATCCACAACGATATAACAGGTAAAAATATGATAAAACCGGTATCAAAATGATAAAATCGATATAACGCTACCGGATATATTGAAAGTGTCGATACTTTCGTAAGTACGTGTAATAAATTATCGATACTTTCAAAGAAATACGTAATTATCCTTTCAAAAGTATCGACACTTTTATATTTGTATCGATTAAATATAAATAACATATCCGATGAAAATATAAAGGCCATAGCTAAATATCCTCTGAAAATAGATAGAACGGACGAGTTTTTGAAATCGAAGCGTAATTGTTGCTGCATTTCAGAATGCGTTTCTAAAGCGAAGTTTGTTTGTTTGTTGCTGCAGTCGAATCGAAAAGTATGTTGTCGAAACCCTAGTTTTTTATTATTACAGTAATCGCGAATAGGGTTTTTATGTGTTGTTTGGGGTTTTGGAGTAAAGAAGCATTTGGGACCGATTGCAGGTAGAAAGTGATATTCAAGGTAAAATATAAATGTCGATACTTTTATTAAATATTATAAGTAGAAAATAATATTATAGGTTGTATAAATGTGCCGACACATTTTGTAGTGGCCATTCAAATTCTTTTTGAAGAAAACCATTTTACCACAAGAGTAGTTATCTATATTTGTATATTGAATAAAGTGTATGTAACAAAATAATTTGATTTGCGTAAACTGATATATGAAGGAAAAATGGAGTCAATGTGTTGGAAAATTGTTGGTGGCGCAGATGACTTTGAAATTGAGGCCGAGACTCGAAAGCAACCAAAGGGTGGATATATGTACTTCTAGTAAGTATCAATGTCTTTTTGTTATTATTGTTGAAATGGTAATTGGATTAAAGTATCGATAAACTTTAAATTGATTACAAATTTTAAATGTTGACAGTATAGTCGAATGCAAAAGGATGAAGGAAGATGGCACACAGAGAGGTTTGGTATGTAAAATGAAATTGACATTGAGTATTATTTAGTGTTAATGTATTGATTAAGAAACATTTATGTTTAATATTAGGTGACAAAAGATGTGAGGTCTAAATGGAATTCGATGAGTAATGCTGAAAAGGAACCTTACATCACACAGTCAAGGAATGATAGTAAAGAATACAAAAAACGGAGGAAAGCACATGAAAATAAGGTATTCATTAAACTTGTAAATACGTTGATACAAAATATATAAGAACTATAACATTATATATTGTTAAAAAATGTAGGAAGTGTCGACAAGATGCAGCATTAAAAGGGTGAATTCATTAATTAAACACTGTCAATCCTTGATGGCGCAATTTGATGTCAGACAATGTATTGCTAAGTATGGTGATTTTTCATTTCCTCTCGGGATCCCATGTGCTGCAGCCGTATTGGGAGTAGAAAATGAAGGCAAAAGTGTTGTAGAAGTCTGTAAGAGTAAGGACCAGAAAGCACTTGCCTCCAAATATGGTTTGAAGCAGAAGGTGACATATGCTGAAATTGAAGAGGAAATAAAAAGTGGATCTTACAGGGGGGATGAGCTGAAGGCCAGAGTTCTATTATACCTTGTCGGTATCTTTCTTTGTCCAACGGGTGATACGTCAACGAACAAGGAATATATGAAGCTCATTTACGATGAAGGCTTGAAGGGTGAATTCAATTGGACTGAATATATCCATTCGAGATTGATTGAATCAATAATCACCTTTAAAAAGGGCAGCCAGAGATACCTCAAAGGGTGCATAACAATCTTAGAGGTAAATGAGTTGAAGAACTTTTTTGTGTTTTTATATAAAATGATAGTATAGTTATTATATAAAAATATAAATTTTATTATAAATGCAGGTTGCACTGTTCGATTTTTGGTCGGGCTGTGAGGCAGTGCCGGCTTATGAAAGAACCGGAGTGGCACACATTCGTGCATGGGGGAAGGAAGAGGTGGTTAGAGTGATGGTGAAGTTGAAGTTGGATAGAGCGAAGAAGCAAGAAAGGGTAATAAATTTAATTAAATAATATTAAGAAAATAATCAATGTCTTAATATTGTAATTTAATTTTGAAGGTTATTGGCAAGGATGTAGAGGAGGTAGTGGAGACAGAGGAGAAGAAAGGAGAGATGGTTGTATTGGGGGATGACGGTGAGGGGGACGACGGTGAGGGAAAACATAGTAACTTCAACATTTTGATGTCTGAATTGGCTGATATCAAAAAAATCCAATTTTATATCATGCAAAGACAATCAAGAGTCGAAGAGAAACTTGATAGAGTCGAAGAGAAACTTGAGAGAGTCGAAGATACACTTGAGAGGCATAAGGGGGTAGTGGAAGGAAAAATAGATGGAGTGGTGAAAGAAGTAGAGGTGTTGAGGGGTGAAGTGGTGAAAGAAGTTGAGGTGTTAAGGGGTGATCTTAAGATGGTGACGGGTGAAAAATTTGAGGGAGTGGTAAAGGAGGTTGTTGAATTGAGGAGTGAATTTACGGGGGAGAAGGGGGTGGTTGATAAATACTTGGATGAAGGAGATCAATTGAAGGGTGAAATAAAAGAGATGAAGAACTATGTAGAGAAAAAAATACGATGAACTGAAAAAATATGAAGAAGAAAAGAGGGAGGAGGAAGAAGAAGTGATGGAAGAAAAGAGGGAGGAGGAAGAAGAAGAGATGGAAGAAAAGAGGGAGGAGGAAGAATAAGAGATGGAAGAAATGAGGAGGAAGGAAGTCGATGTCATTTATACATTGGAGAGTGTTATAGCAGCAGATTTGGATTCGGAATGTCCTGCACCCCAGAAGAAGAAGCAGAAGGTAAGTTGAATAAAAGAAAACTTAATTTGATCTTTATTATGTTGTTGTGACAAAAAATTGTATGCAAAATTGTAGGTTGAAAAAGCGGATATTCCAAGCGGAATTGATGACATCGAAGCTGTAATTTGTGATTATTTATGGAATAGTGAGTTAGAATCGGGGTAAGTGAAATATATTGTTTTGTAAGTGATATTTAAATATTTCATGACAACATATTAATCCTAATGATTCATACAGATATTCTGTAATCTCAATGGGAAATCAATTCGCTATTGTATACGACGTTGCAACGTTGAAGCCTATGGAATGGGTTGGCGGTGTGGTAAGTAGAAAGTAGAAAATGTTAAAACTTATTGAATATGTTTTGATTGTGTAATTAATTTTGTTAGGTTATTTATTTGCTCGCCTGGACAATATGCTACGATTCTCAAAAGTCAATCCGGAGGATTGACTACCTTCCATACCTCTTAGCGGTGAGTTAAATTAATAAATGTTGAAAAGTAGTGTTATAGACGGTAAATTAATAATGTTTGTTGCGTAATTGCAGCAACAGGCGTTGGATGCCAACAACAAAGAAAGTTTTGAGAGTATTGCTACCTTCTGGGGTCCCATATTGGATAACTATGTGAAATTCACCGACTGTGAGAAGGTAAGACACCATACCAATTGCAAATGATGTTTTCGGATATAGAATGTTGAATTTTGTCAAATTGGGTGTGAAATTTGTTGCAGATCATGATCACAATAAACTACCATAATTCACATTGGTATCTGTTGGTGTTGGATATGATAGATCGTGTTGCAACAATATATGATAGTATGTTTACATCTGAAGCATCTAAACAGAGAGTGAAGGATGCTAAGAGATTGGTATGTATGTATGTATGTATGTATGTATGTATGAAAGCACATTATGTAAATTATAATGCATATTTTTTTTGGATCATAACTTCTTCTTTTTTAATGCAGATTAAAATATTAGATTTTTATAATAAGAAACGCATTTGGTTTGAATACTGTGGATCTCTATGAAAGTTTCCCTTGAAAAATTTCAAATTTGTGGAGCATAAGAAGAATAAGCAATTGAATGGGTATGAGATGTTATCATAAATAGAAAGCTTAATTTATGCAGGATTCATCATAATTGACATGTGTGGTTTTCAAATTTTGTAACAGACATGATTGAGGCATGTATGTGATGATGTGGATGGAATCGATCGGTTCTACAGGGGCAACTGGTGATTTTGTAAGTGGAAAGAAAAATCCGTTTGTGGTAAAATTGTTAAAAGTCGTAGATTGAATGCTGTAGTTTACAATACTTAACGTTCTGACAATTTGAATATAGGTTGTTGGAGAGTGGGATCGATCGCGAATATTAAACGATCTCG